GTCAATGCTGCAGGACCAGCCTCTCCCAGCCCTGGGTCTGGCAGGATGCTGACCTGTCCAAGGAGGACAAACCTCCTGTGTGACGCTTGTGCCTTAGTTTCTTCCTCCCCACCTGGCCAGGTGTTGTGCCATGGCCATGGAAGCCCTCTGTAGGCAGCACGAGGAAAGTCTTGTGACTTGGAAATCTCAACAGCTCAGTGACGCACAGAACTCAGGGTAAAGCTTTTCCAAAGGATGCTGCACACACTTCCCTTGTCTCTGCTAGCCTCCGTGCTTAGGCTGGGGGTGGTGGGGAGGGAGCCTGCCTTCTATCTCCCAACTTTTGGTGGAAAAATCATCCGTTGAAAATGTCAGGAATGTTTTTGGTGGCTTTCTGGACCGGGGAATTCACTTGATGCTGGGTTGTGTTTAAACAGAGCTGATACTGATGCCACTCCCAGGCTTGCGTATGGAACGCTGTCATGCAGGAGCCAAGTGTTAATGAATCTGAGTGGTGTGTGGTTAGGACCTGTTCTGTTTCTTCACCAGCCCAGTGAGATAGGTGAAAAAGGCAAAGCCCAGGTCCTGCTTGAAGCAAATAAACAACAAACAACAAGATCCTGTGAAGCATCTGCCAGAAGACGAGGCTCATCTCTGTGGGATTTCCTGGTTAAATACTTGAGATAAATGACGTTCATTTAAAATGAATGTAGCTAATCCCCTGTTGCTCCAGAGAGGCTCATGAGGTGGAGTGGGTAGAGATTTAGATTCTTGCAGGGCTTAATACTTGTTCTCATTTACATGAGTATCTTACAGCAGCGGAACTCTGCGGGACCCTATTCTCTTACTTAAGCCAATAGAAGTTAGCAGTGATTGCTGGTGTGCAGAACCCAAGGAAAGGAAGAATCAGTTGTGGTTATTAAATACACATTGATTTTATTTAGTGCTTTAGTCTGTTTTAATGCCATGCCATTGCTATTGCAGTTAAGCAAGGTTTATGGTTGTATTTAGGAGCCAGAGTGTGCAACTTATCTTTTCACAATAGCAAGCATCACAGAACACTCTTTTTGTCCTAAAAGCTGGAGGCTTTGGTTAACACACAGCATGTTACCACCTGCATTCTTAAACCGAAGCAGAAGAAGAATTCAGAAGGGAAATGCAAGAGCCTGGAGCCTGCCTGGTTTGTCCTCTGTTCAAGGACTGCTTGTACTGCGGTGCTTGGGCAGGGCAGAGGGAATTTGTGGCACCGCACAGAATTTCTTCAGCCTTCTTCACCTCAGCATTCAGCTGCCTGAAAGCACCTGTGGCTGTGCTCATGTCCTGCAGGGCTAAGGATGAGGCTCTGGGCTGCAGCTCCAGCTCTTGGCATCTGAGGCTTTACTGTGAAATTCAAATGACCCAGTAAATGCCTGAGAGGAAGGACCAGCGGGACAGCTCTCTCCCAGCCTGCTCACTCTTGTCATCTTAAGCAGTAAAGATGACTTAAGTGCTTAAAATAATGAGGAAAGTGAGTTCTGCCTTAATGAGTTTTTAATTACGTGCACCAGTAGGCGATTGCCCCACCTGTCAAGGAGCTGTTCAGAGCCTTGGTGCCATTCCACACTGTTTAGATGAAGAGAAGTCAAAGTTAAGAATCACCTGTCCTCATGCTTCCTATAAAACAAGTCTAAGCTATGTATTATGTCTTGGAAAAAAAACAACAGCCCAGCATGATGCTGGCCACATGGCATTCTCCCCAAGCTGCAAGTTATAGGTCTGCAAGCATCCCTGCACTGAGTGTGGGGCAGGAGGCACGGGGCTGCTTTTGTATAGGTGCTGAGCAGCCTCTGGTGCTTTAATTACTAACAGCTGGTTGAGAGAGGCAGGCAGCCAGCTTGCTGTTTCTGCTGGTTCAGCTAGAAGTTGCTAACAGACGTGTGTGAGGAGTTTGGCTTGGCAGCAGTGAGCTTTTCGTGCCTGGAGCACCTAGCAAGGCCTGATAACAAGCTTCACTGCTAACACAGGTGAGTGATTAAATCTCAAGTGTGGAAGTGAAGCTGCCACGTTGTTCCATTGAAAAGCCAATCTTCAAGCCAGCCCGCATTTTATTAGAAAGGCTTTTCTGAAATTGAGGAGGAAATTTTGGAGCCCAGGTGTGAAGACGAGCGTGGTGCAAATCCAAGCTTCAGTAGGTGGCTCTCATGCTTAAATAAAGGTTAGCAGCCAAAGTAAATAGGAAGCAGAATGCGTGGTGACGGCTTGTGAGGAAAGTTTTCATCCAGCATTTCGGAGCTCGGCTTCTACACAGCACTGCTTGGGCCTGAACGAAGTCAGTGCAGATCTTTGGGCTGCTGGAGCACAGATCTCAGGGATGTGCAGCGTGTCTGGAGGGCTGGTGATGAATGTTGGGGTTACGCTGCAGAACTAACCATTGCCATCCCTGCTCTTCAGATTTAACTGACACGAATAAAGTAACGTCCTTTGTTCCATCATCCTGAAAGTGACTATTAAAAACAGAGAGCAGCCAACGAGGCCAAATCCGTTCCAGCAAGGAGCAGACATGCATGAGAGCTTGTGTATGTAATTTGGATGGTGCTGATGCTCGAATCATAAGCGTTTTTATTGCAGGGCGTATGATGTATCAACATCTCATTTGAGGCCTTTTATGCTTGTCTCGGGGCAGGGCTGCCCTGCTCCTGGAGCTCTGCAGTCCAGAGGCACTCAGCCAACGCTCTGCTGCTGTTAATTCACGGAAGCCTCAATTGAGCACATGTATAATTTGTGTGCTTGGAGTAGTAAAAAAACAAAACAAAAATAATGATGCATTCCCTCAGTCAGCAGTTCAGTTGGGAAGGCTGCTTGGAGGCGTTGTGCGCTCCTTCCTCTGTTACAGCAGGAGTGAATTCCTTGCATGCATGGTGCTGTGCGTTCCCACCAACGTAACCAGGAACATCTGAGGTGCTTTCCAAAGGCTTCTGCATTTGCAGGCGTTTGTCCAAAGCTGCGTGCCGTGACAAAGATGCTAAAGAACAGTATTAAGGAGTAATGAAGAGGCAGCAGCACTGATGTTTCTACCGCAGGGAATTTGGCATAAGCACTGGGGTGTGCAAGAGAATGGTTTCCTTTTTAATACTTGAGGTCTTAAGAACTGTCTCCGTGTATTACTGACAAATATAACCGCCCTAATCAACTGTTTGCATCCTTTAAGTGGTATCAGTGCTCTTAATTAACTCAAGTTTTAAGAAGTTGGGGAAGTTGAAAGCTGACATGCTTTCATTTGGTGTGCTGCTAAGCTGATTTTCATTGATTTGTGCGCAGGCATTAATCAGCCACCCGAGCACTTCGTTATTCCATTTGCCACTGTGCTTTCTTTCCTTGTAAATGATATCTTTTGAAGTTTATTAAAAGAATGAGTCATGTTGTAGCTTCCTCAGAATCTTCCCCCTCTGTAAGTCAGCCGTTTTTTCATGCTGCTCCAATCATTGTCTGCATAACGAGCGAGGGACAAGGCTGCTGTATGGAGCTGGACCTTGCAGGTACATATCCTGTCAGTTGCTGCTCACATATGAGAACACTTAAAGTCTTTTTCAGACTTTTAGATCCAGGCTCAGAAAATGAATGTGCTTCCCTATGTAGTGCTCCCCTGACTCGTCTGCTGTTGTGCACAGCCAACCTGCTCCTGCCTCAGCCCTGAGTTATGGCACAGCTTTAATATCCCTTGCTTGGGTGGATTGATAGAGGAGGGCCATTGTGAATTTAAGGGAGAAAGTAATTGCTTCTAAAACCTGTACAGTTCCTAATCAGCGTGAATCTGTTTCTTTGTAACTCTCTTTAAGCGTCTGCCCTGCAGCATGGTTCACCTTGCTCCAGTTGTGTTTGCAAAGGATCTGTCTGTGTTTATTGCTGGATGTGGCGTGTTTGACTTTAATGTTGCTGAATGAGGTCCTGGGAGCAGGTACCATAAACGTGACATGGGCATAGATGCCACATAGGAGAGGTGGAAGTGTTCTTCAGAGGGAAAACATGAGAATGCTGAACAGAATCATCCATAAAATCGTGTGTGCTCTGTTGTAAAGACCCGTGCTTGATGGGATTTTGTGCTTGGAATAAAACAGCAGAGCCAGGGAATGGAGGTGATGAGTTCAGGGGACCTGGGCTTCTGTCTGGAAGCAGAGCCATGCTTCCTAATGAGCTTGTGACCTGTGCTGTGATAGGGCAGGCAGAGCCAGCCCCGTCAGCCTGCAGCTCATTGTATCAGGAACGGCAGAAATAAGAGAAACCACACTTCAGCAAGCTGTGCACTACTGAGCTAATGTAGGAGGATTTCACTAATGCAATTAGAGATGGAGTAAAGCAGAAGTGAAATTGAGGGCACGACTAAGATTTAAATCAGTGATTGAGGACATTCAAGTGATCAGATCTGCAAATTAAAATAACAGCAGATCTCAAAGTGAAGAGCCCGAAGTTAGCAGCCACTTTGTCTGCTCAGGCTTCCAACTTCTGCTTGCAGATGTCTTTTCCTTGCTTGCTTTGGAAAGAAGGGCATCTTCATGCTCCTGGCTCAAGCTGCTCCTTTCTCCCACTGAGCCATGTCTCTGCCAGCTCTGGCTTTGCTGCCCCATAGGGCTCTGCCCTTGGGCACCTGGAGGCACAATGATTTTCTAATGCCTTCCTTACACGAAGGTGGGAGGATCCTATTCTGTCTACAAAAAGATGAATAGTTGGGAAGAACCTTGTGATCTCCAGATCCAAACAAGTGAGGAATGTTGAGTGCTTTGCTCTGCTTGTGCCGTGTGTCAGCTGCAGAAGCACACAGCCCAGATTGTGCTTCCTTGGGTCTTGTTGCGTGGGCAGCACCGCTGGGGAAGGCTGAGCACGCTGCTCCCAGCACACCAAGGGACAGCCAGGTTTGAGGCTGTCCCTGAATCTACGTTATCTTCCACAAGGGAGGGCAAAACAGCCCTGACCTTGAAGCATTGAGTCACCACTGACTGTCCCCTTGTTTCTCCCCAGGGAGTGACATACTGCGGTGACAGCTCGGCCAGCAGCCTCACCATGGCCAACGTCCCCTGGCACGAGGAGGTCGTGCACTTCGTCCAGGAGCTGACCCAGCTCCTCCCAGACTACGGCATCGCCTGTGAGCACGAGCACTCCAACTGCCTCCTGATAGCTCACAAAAAGGTGAGAGTCCTCCGTGCCAGGTGTGAGACCTTGGAGGGATGTGCATTTGCCTTCTTCCGACTGCTTTTCCTCTCCAGCATTAAGCTGAATTTTTGTAGGGGAAGGCATGGAAATGCACAGTGGGTATTGCAGAGAGGGCTCATGGAACCACTGCAAGGCTTCAGGGGATGGTGGTAGGTCACAGCATGGCCACAGCAGTGTAAGGAAGAAACATATAACAGGCCCAGGAAGAGCTCGTTGCGGTATCACTTGTGCTTCATCATACTCTCTGCCTTGTGTTTTGAGAAAGGTAAGAGCAAGTCCTGTGATTCTGTGAAACCACGTTGGGTCAGCTGATTTTGTCTTATTTCCTAATTTTTTTTCACCATGTTTTGTAGTGGTGTACACAGCTCAGTAGGGAAGTGATGCTTCAGATGAGGTTAGGGCTGTGTTATTCCTCCTCTTTCCAGCACCTACCAGAGCTCTACATCTCCTTACTCTTCAATCAGAGCCAGAATAACTTCTTTTTCTTCTTTTGGAGAGGTAATTTTAACAAAAAACAGATTGATAGATGGATGTTAACACCGTTTGCTTGCCTCTGTTGAATTGGAGCTGTTTCTCCACCCTGATGGTGGAGAAGAGGTTGTGGAGCTGCTGTCTGGTGGCAGCCCTCGTGTCCAGGGAGCTTTGCAGGCCACATGTGTCTCACAGCCCAGGTGTGTAAAATGTGCCTTAAATTTGGGCTCCTTCCTGAACACCAGCGCAACTCGAAATGCAAGTGAAATGCCAAAAAGTAAGTCATTTTAAAGGATGCAGGATCTGAAAAATCCCAAGTGCAACTTGGCTTTCTGAGCATAATAGAAAGATAAGAAATGAGTAACATGCAATCTAGGTGGAGCAGGCACTGTGCTAATTGCAGTGGTTTTGCTTTGCTCATGCTTTGCTCCTATTTGCTGAAGTCATGTGCTCTCTGTCTCCCCTTGCTTGACTGGGGATGTGGTTTTAGTTTACACACGACGCACTTCTGACCAAACCCCAATACACACAGGGGGGAACTGGTTAAAATCAGTGCTTGCAGAAGGTCTGAAATAGGTTGAGTCTGTGTGTTGAAACAAGTAGAATCCCATTGTTGAAAACTTCTGCCCAGTTGCAAAATTTTGTTTCCTTGGTTTGCTGCTTTATGGGAACAGCTGTAAAGGAGCAGAGTAAAGCATTGACACCTGGCACTTTCTTTGTTTCAAGTCACCTTCGGGTTGCTTTTTTTACAGTCTCTTGGTTGTTGCCACTGGCAACTGTGCCTGTGCAAATGCAAATAATTCTTCTCTGAGGTGCAAGGCCCAGGGAAAGAAAGGAAACAGATTGCCACCTCACTTATTGATGCATAATTCAAGTAACACCGTTAGTAACAAGCACAGATTGATACCAGCCCAGGAGGAATTCAACAGCTGCTTTGCTTTCCAAAGCCATTAGGAGGGGGCGTCTTTTGGAAACAATCTATACTCGGTACTAAAACAACTAATAAAAAATAAATTTATTTCTATTACATTTAATTCAGAATTTCAGGCTCCAGTGGAGAATAAAATTTGTCAGTGTATATTATTTGCAGAAAACGTGTGCTCTGGGAAGGATCAAACTGCGGTGAGTAATTGCAAAATCAAAGGTGTCTTTAAAGAGTTAAGGAGTTGCAGGAAAAAGGTAATAAAAATCAGTTAACTATGTGATTTATTTCGCTGGGTTCTGCTCCATCTGAGATTGGAGGTTTTCAAACAATACTGATAGTAATAATTTGGAACTCTGGTGCTGGTGTGTCTGGACACGTCATAACACAGCTTGATTGCAGCCCCATCTCCTTGACTTTGGGAGAGTTGTTGGTTGGCACCTGCTCATGTGCTTTGGGTGGAAATGAATGGGAGGAGATGGCGGTCTGCTCAGCGGTGCTTGTCACTCCATCAGCCAAGAGATCTCTCCAGCAGACACCAATTCAATCTTCTCCTGCCCATTTTCCAGCACTGCCCTTGGGCTCTGGTGGGACTCAGGGACTTGACATCCCTGCTGCACTTGTGGGATGCTCGAGGCTGGGTGAAAGGCACTGATGTTGTTCCACGCTGAGCATTTCGTCTATATTTAGGGAGGAAAAGGAAGCACTTAACTACCAGCTGCAGATTGCCTAACAAGGGTTACATTAGAGAAAAATAGTCCATCGCTTCTTATTCCCTTCCTGCCTTGAGAATCATTTGGAGAGTGCGAGCTGTCCCTGTGACCCTGCCTCCCAGATCCAGTCATAGAATGGCTTGGGTTAGAAGGGAGGATCATCAAGTTCCAACCCCCCTGCCACATACAGGGCCACCAACCTCCAGATCTGGTACTAGAGCAGGCTGCTCAGGGCCCTGTCCAACCTGGTAAATGTGCTTGTTATCCCAAGGTTTACATTGGTGTTATCCATACCCCATCCTGCTGCTTGCAGTGCACACAGAACAGGGTCGCTGCCCATTGCAGGATGTGTCTCAGTATCCACAGCACAGCCTGGCTGTGCTGTGACGTCTCACAGGTTTGGACTTTTGTTTCACCCTTTCCAAATAGGAAGGTGGCTGCGCTGTGCTTGATCTGTTAGTTATTAAAAGGAGATCACAGCTCTGCTAAAGTAATCCATTTTTCATCCACAGGAATTAAAACCGTCTGGATGCAGCGCCGGTGTAATTGGCAGATGAGTTGTTCAGCTCAGCAGCAGGCACAGATTAAAAATTAAAAAAAAAACCCTGCAATAAGGAGCCTGTTCTTTAGAACAACTCACACATGATTAGATGTAATAAATAGAAGCAGAGGAGGGGTCCCACGAGTGTCTGGGGCCACAATCCTACGTCCCAGCGTGGCTGCAGCTCTGCAGGGTTCTCCATCTCCTGCACTGGGGCTGTGTGCTGCAGATGGGTCAGTTGCAACCTCCTGTTTTGTAACTTAATTAGCCTAATTTCTCCCACCCAGCTCTTGAGGTTACAGTTGGTAATGAAAAAAGAGGAAGATTTTTAGTTTTTAGCAAGCTGTATGACCCTGTTTAGGATTAATACAGTATTTCTCCTTTATTTTCTTTCCTGGAATGATTCCAGTTCTGTCACTTTTGCCGTTGAGTAAAGGGAGCCCTAAATAATTGTGAGCCTTAATTAGATGAGAAACTGCATGTAATAGCATAATGAATTATTTGTTTGACTTCAGAGAGCTTTGTAGTGGCAAAAGTACTCACTGCAGTCGCATGGTGCTGGTGTGTGCAGTCAGTAACGCCCCTGTATGAGGGTGCAGGAGTTGTTGTGTTTATTGAAATGATCATCTGTCTTCAGGTTTACATGAAGGAGCTCAGGACTGTGATAATAGGGATGATTTTCTGGCTGTCCCCCTTCCAGGCACAGAGCAGCAGTAGGAAACCCTGAGCTGTGTTGCACATGGGCAGTGGGACCTCCTCCCTGAGCAGCACATCCATGGAGCATCACCCCACACCTCTCCTCTTTTGAGACCCCAGAGCTCTCAAACATTTCAAAGCAGCCCTGAAAAGTGACGTGGGGCTGAAAGTGGGGCTGTGCCCCTCAGCAAGGGAACTGTAAAGGTCAGGCCTCACAGACCCAGCCCTGGAGGCAGCAGTAGGGCCGTCCCATCCCAGCCTTGCTCTGCCTCTGTGTCTGTGATATTTAAATTCTTCCTGCATGCAAGAGCCCAGCTGCACCGTCTAGACAGCCCACGGCCTCAGTGTGTTATGGAAGATCCAGATGTGCACATGCCCCACCACATCTGGTTTGCAGACAGGTTCTCTGTGCAGTCTCTTCAGGACTGATGTGCTGCAGTGGAGCGGGGTTCAGTGAGTGGCCCTGCTCTCTGGTGGCATTGAGAATGCACGAGGAAAATAGTGATTGGTGTTGGCTTCAGCGTGGCCACTCCTAGACAGAATTATTTCCTTATTCCAAGCTGGATGTCCTGCGGATCGATGAGATTTGCAGTGGGATGCAGCCCACACCCCTGGCAGAGAGCTGTGTGGGTGCTGGGAAACACACAGCCCTAAGTTTGACTTTCGAGATCATAAATATGGAAGGGAGGAACTGAAAGCCAAAGGAATAAAAAGAAACCCCACTTTCTTAAGCGCAGAAGCACAAAGTCCCATTCCATCTCCCCAGAAGAGTGCCTTTTCATTACCAGGAAAAGGATCTATTGCGGCTCAGCAAGGGAGGATGCTGGAATACAGACTGGAGATACTTGTCTGCCTTTCCAAAGATTTTTTTCTTCTTGAGGGATAAAAATGGAGGGGGAGTAGTGTTGGCTTTTTCAATACCTCTGTGATTTTCAAGGCCCAGACAGCACAGGGTGTGTTGTGCTGCAGGCTCTGAACGCACTGCTTCCCTTAACAACGAGAAGCAGGGAATCCAGCAGCCTTTGTGGATGGAGCAGCAGTTTGTTGGGGAAGCTGCAGTAGGGCAGAAGGCCTCATCCCTTCCAAACACTAAGGAGCAGAGCCAGCACCAGGTTGGTTGTAGTTGTTGGGATGGGACATAGAAGTGTAGAGTAAGGAAGGAAGAATCCGTGCTGCCAGCCTTGCAGCTCTGCTGCTGAGATCTGCTCTTGCAAAAGGCTCTTTAATGTTTCACGCTGTGTGCAAAGCAGAACAAGTGTTGTTTGAAGTATTGGCCGTGACCAGTTTTTATTTTTTAAATGCTGGGAATTGGAAGTAGAAAAGCTGTTAAGGGATCTACACATCCTCCTGCATCGCTGCAGCCGTGCCCTGTTTTCCCTGCTCGCCACTGATGGGTCTTTGTGCAGTCTTTAAGCTGCGTATAAAACTGCTGTGTTGAGCTGTTAAACACAGAGCCTGTGCGCAGGGAAGGATCCATCTGTTGCATCACAAGGTCTGTGCGTTTGCCCATGCAGCTGCAAGCAGCCAAAGAGCCAAGGCAGGACCAGCCCTGCTCCCCACTGATGCTCCACATGCTGGGCCATCCTGACCTGGGGACACACTTGTCTCATAGGGAATGAGAAAAGTGATGGTGCAGAGGAGCTGCCATTCAGCCTGTTTTCCTCCAAGGGGAATGCAGCACTGTCCTTGTTAGGACAAGCTCTGTGGGCTCTGGCCAATTTCCATCCCTCAGCATTGGTGTTTTGTGTCACCATTTCCACCTCTCTTCTCTATTTCATCATTTTACATCAACTCCACGTTTATTTCTTGGTAATCACATGTCTGGGCCAACGCAGTAAAGCGTCCCATACATCTTTAGCCCCCCAAATTGTTTATTCAGGTAGGTTGGTAGGAACTGTGTAGTGTGGCTCTTCGTCACGAATGTTGATGGGTTTATGTGGCGAGAACTCCTCTCTGCACAGACTAAACAAACAGCTCCAAACGTTCTGCAGAGGTTGATTTAAAGAAATGTCCTGTTCATATCCACCATTGTGAATGTACCCATAGTGCTGCAGCTCTGCGTTGTGCTGTGGAACAGCTGCACATAAAGTGCTCTCAGCACTTGGTAGCATGGAGGTGATGCTCAGCGTGGGCGCAGCTGTCTGACCCCAATCTCTGTCTGCTTTCAGCTGACTATAAGGCCACAACGAGTTCCCCCCTCATTGTCTCCTTCTCTCATTTCTCCCGTACCATTAGACCTGCAGAAATCAGGTTTTGTATTGCTGGGCACCAGCATGGTGTGAGGGCCAGGCTGCATGGGATGCTGGGCAGTTCTGCTGCTTGTTGGCAGCCTTGTCCACAATGGGGGTTGGAGCTTCAAGGTCCCTTCCAACCTAAGCCCTTCTGTGATCATGGATGGAAGAACCCACGTTGGGACCTTGGGGACATGGAGACGAGGGCTTTGGGGACAGCAAGCACCAGCCCCAGTGTTGCCTCCAAGCCATAGGGAGATGCTGGCTATCCCTTTGCAGACAGCACAGCCTCAGCGCCTCTTGAAGAAGCTTTACGGCTCATTTTATGATGCTAACTTAAGGAAAAAACACCAGGGGAGGGTTCCAACTGTTTGTCTTTCCCCGATGTGTTTGTCACCTTAAAAGGCTTAACCAGGTAGCGAAGAATTCAATAAAACGCCCCGCTGCGTTACTGTGAGCTAACACCAGTGCCTGTTATATGGCTGTTGTGAAACAGTGTTGAGCCTTAAATCTTTCATTATCTGCGGAATAATCATAAAATTGTTAAAACCCCATCTGTAAATCTCGTGGGCCATTGAGACTGTTCCACCCCGCCCTATATTGGTCTGGTTTTCATTCCTTCACAGAAGTAAATGGTTTCCATGACACATGTGAGGGATGGCCCCCATTTCTTTGTGTTATACTGCTGTGGTATCGCAGCAGTAAAAAAAAAAATATATATATTTAATATCATTTGATCTGCTTTTGTAGCAAAACCCAGGCAGCCTTCGCTCAGTCAGCGGGGGGAGCAGCCTTGGTGTGCTGCTGTGCCTGGACACAGAGCAAACAGTGTGATGTCTCCCATATGTGACCCAGCCAAGGTTCAGGATAGATGGGGTTAGCACAAGCCTGGGGAGTTGGCTTGGATGCTGGGAGCTGCTGTGGCCACAGAGAGCAGTGGAAAGGACCAGCTCCATCCAGAGAGGGGTTTTGTCCTCCGGAGGGCACGTGCACAGTTTTACTCCCAAGGGTGAGGACCTGCAATGTGCCTTCTGCAGCTGTCTCCTGGGTGCAGGGGTGTTTTGGGGCAGGGTTTGGTGCTGCATGTGGTGCTGTGCTTCCCTGTGTTCTCCTGGTGGATGTGGCCCCACCTGCCCCACGGAAGAAGTTTCAGTGTGGGAGATGTTCAGCTTTACCCCTTTCTGCTGCTGGCCTCGTTGAAGGTTGTAGGAACTGATAGCGTGGTGAAGTACAGCTGTGGCACAACAGAAAGAACAGTTTGCTTTGGAAAGGAGAAAGCATCTCGTTGTCTCCCAGGAGCACATTTCGGGCTCCCACCCCCTACAAGGCAGTGTTTCCCCCAGCAGTGATATTCTGCTGGGACTGGGAGGGATGCAGCATCTCTGCCCTTTGAGGATGGGGCTGAGCACCCACGTTCTGCAGCTGGGGCACCATGGGCTGTGCAGCAGAACCTCATCTCAGCCCCTCTGCATGGCATAGGCATCCAACTGCAGCTTTGTCTGCAGGTGAAGGGTGCTGCAGGGTCCCCTCCCCTCCTGAGATGAGAGCATCCCAGGGATTTTTGAGGAAGCAGCCTCTCCAGAATGACCTCCTCAGCCAATCTCAGGTCTGAGCTGCGTTTCTGTTCTTTGTGTGAAAGGTTTCTCTTAGCTGGCCTTGAGTCTGTCATCATGGCAATGAACTGAACCACTGGCTGCGTGCTAAGCAGCTCTGCCTTGTGATGAGAGCCTCAGGTCCTGGGTGCTGGAGGCTTTTTGCTCCCTGCTGCCCTGCAGCCCCGCATCCCTGCCCTGTGCAGGGACTCCTCCTGCGAGAGCTCACTGCAATTGCACAGCAACAGATGAACATTGGCAAGGCTGGATTCGTGATTTTGCAGGTATCAGCAGTTTTTCCAACCAAAAAAGCTTTTAGCTCTTGGGCAGAAAGTCAAGTGCCATTTAAATGCATAACCATCAGGTTTCAAAAAAAGCAGGGAGTCGGTATGTTTTCCCTCTTTTTTTTTTTTTTTGGATGAAGTGCATAATAAGCTCTTAGCTCGGATAAATCCTAATTGAGGATTCAGTCAGGGCTGTTGCTAAATTAGCAGAGCGGGTCTGGGAGACAAATGTAGCTCCAACTTGTCAAAATAAGCAATTCTTAACATCTTTGCATGGGAAGAGGATTCGTGTCTTTAAAACTCTTTATCTTTCCCCACTCCCAAATGCAGCCCTCCTGCCCCTTTCAGAAATCGCCCAAATCCTTTCCTTAAAAGCACGTGGCTCCATTGTTGCTCCTGTGGGAGTTTGCAAAGTGAAGCTGAGAATTGGGTAGAAGCTGATGCTTGGAGTTGCAAACTGAGCTGGAAGGGACCTTAAAGGCCATGTGGTCCATCTCCCTGTGATGCTCACAGACCCCCATGGCTCCAGCAGTGCTCAGAGCCTGAAAGGATGGAAGGACACATGGAAGGTTGAGGCAAAGCACCAACCAGGCAAACCTTCCTGAAGTTACCTGCTGGTAGGAGCTGTGCTAAGTGCCCAAAGCTGTAGTGAAAGTGGTTGTTTTGTGCTGCGTGTGCTTTGTGAGACCTCGTGGGTGAAGTGTAGCTCAGAAGCAGTGAGCTCCTGTTACATGTCTACCCGAAGGCTTTTCTTTTTCCTCTCAAAGCATTTGTCTTCAGGAGCTTCTGGGTGGCTTCACGTGGACCTTAATGTGGTTGGGAAAAGACTGCAGCTGAGTACACAGTTTAATCTGCACCCAGCATCCCCTGACCTAACTCTATATGCTCTTTCCTCAGTTCAAGATCAATGGTGACTGGTGCACGTGGATCGACTACGAGCGCTTCCAGGAGCTGGTGAAGGCACACGTGGACAGTGGGGGCACACAGACCTTCACAGCCACAGACTACACAGCCAGGACTCCACACTGGGCGCTCTTTGGGTCCAGCCAACGTGGCTTCGATCCCTTGGACGTGAGATACCAGCGGAGAGGCAAAGTGAGAGACGTCTCTGGGTGCTGATGGCCGGGTGGGCATGGCCCATCTTCAGGCTGAGCGTTGGTCTCCATTTCCAAACTTGTTCACATAGACTTTCTGAAGTTTGATATTGAGGAGGGTAGAGCTTCTATTGAACCCTGCCTTCCTGTTTTTTAGAGTTTCTTGCTTAGAAATATTTATAATGCTTTTTATCTCTGATGAGTGGTGCATGTGTTGACTGGCAGAGCAGAAGGGGGTGGTGTGTGAGATCCCTGCAGCTGGGTGAGCCCAGCCCAGCAGCTCAGAGCTCTGCATCCACGAGTGTAAGTGTGAAAGGGATGTAACCCCTCCAGCAGTGTCTGTGCAGGTGAGGCTGCAGGCCTTGCTTTAGGTATCACTGTACCAACAACAGCACATTTATCTGTTTTGAGCACTCATACCAATCACTGAGAAGCTCTATCTGATCCCCCAAAAGCTGAGGCTTTGGAATGGTGTCAGTGGCAGCAGCCCTATCAATACTGTGTGCAACTTGTGATACCTGTGCAAATACTTTCCAGCATTATGGTTTTGGCAGCGTGCATATTCCAGCTGGTTGGAGTGGAATTATCTGCAGGGGGCCACGTGGGGCTCAGTGGAAGGCTGCCTTCTCTCTCCCTGTGCCAGTCAGCAGCATGGGAGGACCTGGAAAAGGTAAAACTTTTAGGTTGAGATAAAGGCAACTTAATAGGACTGAAAAGGAAGGGAAAATAATGGTGAGAGAATATCCAAAAATGGCAAAACACGGCACCATACCAGCTACTAAGAAGAAAATTACATCTACCACAGTCAAAACCACGACACAGCATCACCATGGGTGGAGGGTGTCAACCCGATGTAAGTGCAAACTGATCCCAATTGAGTTCCTTTGTGTCTGGAAACCAATTCTTCTTACAGAGGGGTAACATCCAGCCCCGTGGTCCACTGCCCCATTCCTGGAGGCTGCTGTCAGAGGCTCATGCCTTGCGCTCTGTTGGATGTTGTGGTCTAGCTGGAAAATTGTATTTAAAGTGAGGGAGGGGGTGGTTTGCTGTTGGGAAAATCACCATCCTTGTGCCATTTGGTTCACACAATGTCCCTGCAGGCTGCAGCCCCAGCACTTCCACTGATGGGAAGTAGTGGGGACTCAAACCAAGCCCCAGAGGTGCCAGCATCACTCTGACTACACTGTCCAGGTCGGTAAGCACCTTCAGGCAGCCATTTGTGGAGCTTGTGTGTTTTTGGTGGGAGTGCTCCTGAGATGGTAACTGTTTGTAGAAGAACCTCATTTGTTCACCTGTTAAAAAGTGATTCTAAAATAGAAAGAAAATAAAAGAGTGATTTCTCCTAGGCCACCTGCACGTGTCATTACTGCACAAGATGCTCTAAGAGGGGATGTTAATGTAAGATCAAAAGTACAGCATTGCCAAACATCTGCCTTTCCTGTGGTGGAAAGGAGGAGAGCACCCACATATCTGTGAGCCAGGGCTTAGCTGCTGGGAGGCTGTGTGGACAGACAAAAGCACTGAGCAGAGGCAAACATCGTGCTTGGATTTCTTAACAAACCAGTGAGGAAGGGATGCTTTCTTTCCCCTTGCTGGGGAGGGATCTGTTGTGTTCCCACCAGGGGCTGTCTCGCCCTCTGCTCAGTTGTGGCTCTGTTATTGGCCATGTTTGTCACCATTTAGCTCACATCTGGCCTTTGGGGGGAATGCTGGCAGCACTTGAAAGCCCAGGAGCTCTGGACTGAAAGATTCAAAGTTGTTAACAGAACATCTGTATTTTTTTCTGAGCCCTGTGCTCTTGAGCACTACTTTTGATGGTGGGGATGCTGCGCGAAGAACACGAACTCTCAGAAATCCCCAGTGCTGTGCAATGTTCAAGTTACAAACTGCTGTGTTCAAGGCTTATTTTGTAGAAATAATGCAGTCTGAGTGAGAATAGCAGACATGGGATGCAGGTACCTGAGCACTGACTTTACTGCCTTGGAGCAGCCTTTTCCCCAACCCTCCCTGCATCTCTGCACTCCTCCATCCCTTCCCCTAATCCTCCCCATCCTGACCCTCCTGCTATCAGTGTGAATCTGTCCCGAGCAGCCCCACAGCTGTCCCTTTTTGTCCCTTTTGGGCCATGTCTAACAACTGGAAGCCATACAGAGAGAGATTTGGGCAGAATTCACACGTGCAATTAGCCTTGCGTTGCCTTGTGCTTAAAGTCAATCTTTCAATGCACATATCCCAGAGCAATCCTCTTACATGAGCAGCTTTCAGTTGTACAACTTAATACAAATGGCTGCTGGGGCTGCTGCAGAATGTAGACACTGTTGGGCTTTGTCTGTCTGCAGGTCTGGCATCACAGAGGCATTGCATGGCAGAATTCCTTCCTTGGCTGCCCCAGGAGCCCCCCAAGTGCTGACCCTGCTTTGGTTTGGGGAGATTTACCCAAATCCAGGGCACAGTGTGCTTCTGGACCGCAGGGTCCTGGAGCCTCGGAGGTCGATCCTAAGGGCAAATTGGGCAAAATGGAATTGAACCACTTAAGGCCCAGAGTGGAGGGGCTGAGGGTTGGGGCTGGGGCACTGCAGCTCCTGCCCTGCCTCCCTGACTCACAGCATGAGTCACACCATGGCTGTGCACTGCTTCTTGAAGGGGATAAATCTATTTGTTTCCAAAAATCTCCAGCTGGAAAACATCCCCCAAACAGAGAATTGTCATCCATCAGCTTTCTCTTTATCTGGCTCCCGTCCTAAATCATTTATGATGTTGGAGCTGCTATCTTGCCTCGAGGGGCAAGGAAAAAGACGTCTGAATTAATTGAAGGAAGGGCATCTTCTTCATTCCATCAATTGCAAATGGAGCCAGGAACAAATCTTCTCCATCACTATTTGGAGAGACTGAGGACAACAAGGTGCCACTGGCACAGTGACCCCACATCATGAGTGATGCATGGGCTTTGCTTGTGGGTCCTCCCAAAAGCAGTGCTGGGATGTGCTCTCCCAAAGGCAATGTTGGGATGGATTCTCCCAAAAGTGATGCTCTCCCATCCTGGGAGATGCTGGAGAAGGGCTGCAGGAAGGTGGCAAAGGTGTGCTTAGCAGCACCAGTACTGGGAGAGGAAAACTGGGGGTGGAGAGAGAGAAGCTTGGAGTCTATGAACCACCACTTAGAGACAGTGAAAGAGTTTTTCTTCAGACGTTAGATGCTCATGTGATTGTTTTTAACTAGGGAATGCTTTGATCTCCATTCTTGAATAAGAGCGATGATGCAGTGGCACAGCTGCCCATGGAGGTGGTGGGGTCACCATCCCTGGAGGTGTTGAAGAACCATGTTCTGGGACGTGGCACTGAGGAATGTGGTCAGTAGGCATGGTGGGGGTGGGTTGGAGTCGGACTGGATGATCTTGGATGTCTTTTCCAACTTTAATGATTCTACAATTCTATGAAATGCATTGGGCATCCCACAGGGCAGCATCCTGGGCATCTGCATGAGTAGAGCCCACCACCCCCATCCTGCCAGCATTACCCCCACTTTCCCTATGTCCAGGAGTTCTGGGGATGCTCAGTGCTGTACTCCTCATGGCAGAGATTGGGGTTTGCTGGCTGCATTCCTCCTGCGCTGGGGGCTTAGATGAGATCAGCTGCTGAAATCATCTTAGCGCTAAATACGTGTTATTTGGGAATCAGAGAGAAAGCATCAAAGCCATGAATAATTAGCAGCTCAGTGCTGCCTTCCTTGAGGGAGCGCCCCAGGAAACATGAAGCTGCTGTTAAGTGCCCTGGGCTGCTGCTCCATCACTCCCAGGCTTCCCCGTGCTGCTGCTGCTTCCACTGATGTTCTCCAAAACCCAAGGAGCCACCAGGGCTGTGGGATGTTGTGCTGGGCCATGTCAAAGGTCTTACTGAATCTGGATAGATGATATCAGAGGCTCTTCCCTTGTCCACCAACACAGTTACGCCGTTATAGAAGGCCATATGCTTCTGGTCATGCAGGACCTGCTCT